ATCTATGTTTTTGTCCATTTATGAGAAAACTGAAGAAGGCACATTTTCTCAAAATATTTCTCTAACATCTCTGCTTCATCCCACAAACTAAGAAGTTTGTGACTTCCTTAGAGGACAAGTGGAAGTTGCTTATTAAATTGACAGAGGATTAGACTTCACAGGGAAGATGCTTTAACAGAATTCTGTGGGTCATTTTCCACTCACAAATTTTGCAGCCCCTTTGCGGTATGAATCTGACTCTGACATTCATATACACAGCAGCCAACGCTATGTTTTGGAATGCTCCCCCACGTGGCAAAATCTCCCATTCAAAAAGAACATTAAATATAGTGTAAAATCACAATAACACGGAAAAAAGCAATCAGCAGGCAGCTCTAACTTCTGGCTACCATCTATAAACAGGTGGTAAAATTCTTGTACCAACAAATTATTCAGAGAATACTGGATAAAATCAACGGCTTAAACTACACTTCTGATTTAAAACTAGGATCTGATTACTGAGTTGAGTTGCCCTAGGAGAGTGAAGAATTCAGGACTGAGGTTAAAATCTACTAAGATGACAAAGGTTTTCTCCTTTTAGAAGCCCCTTCCTAGATTTCAATCCCAACAATTTCTCAGGCCATATTTGAAGACATCGCATTAGGGGAGAGGAAGGGAAAAGAAAGTGAGGTATTGCTCTCAGCCATTCAAAAGTCTCTTAATGGATCCCAGTAAAAATCACTTAGTGGATTTTTCCCTGTTGGTATGGGAAGGGAGAGGGAAAAAGTGAGATGTATATGGGATGGGGGCAAGAGGGACCCTTCACTCTAATATTGTCTCAAGTTTTTCAGGACAGTGCCTCTAGGTTGCTTTTAATTATTGGCTCCCTTACCCTCTGTGTTTTCAAATAATCATGAGTATATAAATACTCTTAAATTGTATCATATATTAAATAGAATAAGATAACTGTGATTCTAGGACATAGGCAGAAACAAATGTGCATTTTAATTCTGGATAGTGATCGTATTAGAAATCATGTACACCCGTATTTATGTTTGCATTTTCAATATTGCTCTGCATTTCCCAAATTGTCATAATGGATTTTTCTTAAAGAAAGGCTTTTTCTTCATGATTAATATTTTAATCACTCAGACACATTTTTAGCATTTTAATAATTTAAGGACAAGTCATCAAAATACACAGAAATAGTTCAGTTTTAATGACAGGTTAGACGAAAGCAACACCAAGCATTACAAGTAGAATTTTCCTCACTGTATCATGCCAATGAATAGGATAAAGGTTTTCTGAAGCCTGTGCCTGCACCCGTTCCAGAAAGCTCAATACAGACATGTTAACATCTCCTTCCGTTTGAGTGTGAATTTGAAAAGCAAGAACTCATTAAATGATTTCTGTCAGCTTTCTGCCTCAATTCTCCAACTCTTATGGGTTCCCCCTGACTGAGTCCACTGGGCTACGTAAATTCAGATTTATTTCCAAGGAGAAAATAGGCTGAAGACAAGACGTAGTAAGAGGCTCCATATCTTGCCAGTCTGAGAGGCCTTATTATTATTTGTTCTTTTAGATGAACCGCAATGACCTAGAGTTCATCTCTAAGTTCTTCCCTGCTGCCTGGCTCACAGGTGATAATGTGATCTGATTCTGAGGGCTTGCATAACCCCATGTTCACTCCTTCACCTGGGATCTTTTCTTGGGGCTAGGTTTCTGAGATGGTTTATATTTGGGTCCTACATCAGTAACTTTTCTGAGTCATTCATTTTCCATTAAGGAGTGCCATTTGTTCCACCTTGCTGTAGGGACTGTGTGAATCCTTAACCCCCCAGCCTTGTAAGTCAGGCTCTGCGGCTCATAGACCTTTCCTAGAAGCTGTTTGTCTAAATCTTCATTGATAAATTTGGTCTGCCTCCAACTTACAGAACTTGTGAATATTTATGACCATCACTAATGTGTGTGCCGTAACTGAAACTTAAAATGCCTTTGTGCTCTCTATCTGGTCAATTTCTTGACCCTATTCCCCTAAACCTAGGAAGATCTACTTTCGTTCTCTGAACCTCAGTGCATTTTTTAAAATCTTTTTGCAAGTCTGCATATGGCATTTTGGATATGAAAATTTCAACCTAAGTGTGTGTTGACTTACATGTAAGGTAAACAGCCAATAGTGGTTTGGTGATAGTCTATGAATTTGGCAGATGAAATTACTTATAGACAGTTTTAACTGAATTAGAAAAGTTAGCATTAGTTTAAAATAATACTGTTTTTATCTAAAAAGCAATTTGTAAAAGACTACATGATAGTCTTAGAAACATGACAGCTTAGCAGATAATTTTGATAAAATGTAACGTTTCTTATTTTAAATATCCTTAGTAATTTAGTAGTAGAATGATTCTTCTAAATCATGATAAAAATATGTATCTGGGCTCCAAAACCAACTTAACAAGGTAAAGAGACATTTCATTAAATTTGAAAATTAAGACCTACATTTAAGATATTCATTAGTCAACATCGATCTAAAAGTTTTTAAGTAAGCAATAAGAAGGGAAAATAACATCAGAAATAATCATTCAAAAGAAGGATGCAAATTCATAATCTATTTGAAAAACAATAAAATCTAGCAGACTTAAGTAATTAATTACATACTAAATTCATAAAACCCAATAATTTTCCTATCATTGTTATAACAAGTCAGAGAAATGTAATGACAGGAGATAAATCTCATCTCTAATTGCAATAAGAGAAATTTAATGCTTAGGAATAAACTTGACAAATCTTATATTGGAGTTAAGGAAAATAAAAAGCTTTTTTGGAACATATAAAAAGATTTGAATAAAGGCATAAATATAATCTCTAATTTTAATGTGCAGTGACAATCCCAATGATATTTGATGAGTTTTTATCTATAAATATAAATTTATCACAATAGCAAAAGAAAAAAGCTTTAATAAAGAAAAAGGAATAATAAGGAACTTACCATACATGACAATATATTTTAAAATTAGTAAAGTAGTTTGCTATTAGGTTAGTAGGCCATTAAAACTGCACACAACATCCAATGCCAAAGTCAAACATGGATAAGAACGGCTATGTATTGTAAGTGGCATATCAAAAAATGAATTTTTGGGCTGGGCGCGGTGGTTCGAGCCTGTAATCCCAGCACTTTGGGAGGCCGAGGTGGGTGGATCACGAGGTCAACAGATCGAGACCATCCTGGTCAACATGGTGAAACCCCGTCTCTACTAAAACTACAAAAAATTAGCTGGGCATGGTGGCGCGTGCCTGTAATCCCAGCTACTCAGGAGGCTGAGGCAGGAGAATTGCCTGAACCCAGGAGGCGGAGGTTGCGGTGAGCCGAGATCACGCCATTGCACTCCAGCCTGGGTAACAAGAGCGAAACTCCGTCTCAAAAAAAAAATAAAATAAAAAATAAAAAAAATAAAAAAACAAAAAATGAATTAAAAAAAAAAAAAAATAAAATAAAAAATAAAAAAAATAAAAAAACAAAAAATGAATTTTTATATAAGTGACATTCAACGGAACAACTGAATATTTATTTGGAGAAAAAAATGGAAAATGTAGCCTCATAATTTATAGCAACAGAAATATGAAATCTTGATGTTAAACACACACACACAGATCATAAAATACCTGAAGAAAACAATAGAAGAAGATGGTTTGCTCTATTAAAATGTGTCACTTGACAGCAAAACAATGAGTCAAAATTAAAAGGAAGCAACAAATTCAGAAAGTAAAACATGCTGCAAATGTATAAGTATCTTTGAAATATATAGGAAGACATTTATAAATTACTAAGAAGGAAGACAAACATCTTGAGTGAGGACAGCCACAGATCCATATACGATATGAACAAAAAAGTTGTTTGTAAAATGGTGAATATGTATATATACAAAGAAATATATGAGCATATCTATCTATGTTTATGTATAAATTCAACCCTGTTCGTAATAAAAAAGATACAATTTTTTTAACAAAACTACAAATCTTGTGTATCAACTTTGAAGAGTTTAAAAGGTATCTAGAAATAATATTGTTGAGATGAGTATTACATCTCACGAGTATAAGAGAGCTTTGGAATTACTTTCCTTTTAAAGACAATTTGGCAGTATGAATCAAAATATTAGACTCAGTAATGCCGCATTTAGAAAGATAGCCTAAGAAAAAGGCATGCAAAATTTAGCGAAACAGTTGTTTATTCTAACATATTTATTATAAAATATTTTAAATCATCCAAATGCCAACAATAAGCCTTAGTTAAATAAACTGGGGTACTTGAGGAAAAAAAAATGCAATGCTATTTAGCAATTAGAAATGATTTTAGTGAAGAGCAACTAATGACTTGAAAAATTTTATATGAGATATTTCTAAGTTGTAATAACATACATGCCCTACCATTCAAAATTACACCTGGATACATATTCACATAAATATACATATATACTACACATATGTAAGGATATCTATTACTAGAATAAATTATATCTTAAATAATATAATTTATTAATATATAAATAAGTAAAATAAAAGATAATGAATAATTTTCCTATATGACAGATCTAAAATTTTTTATTCATACTTTTATAATTTTAAATCTTTCTGCAATGAATATGCATAACTAATACACAAATTGTAAAGTATATGATTTATTTGCTTATTTACTCAGTTACCTATCCACATACTCAGCAATCGTTGTGGAGCAGCTGTAGACAGTTTATTAGGTATCACGTAAAACTGCCTCTGCTGTCATGGAGGCTTACAGCCTAATGGCAGGGATAGGCAGGCCAAACAATCGTGCAGAAATTCCATGATTTCAAACATTTGGCTATCTAGGAAAAGAACTGACCAGGTGTTCTTGAGAATTTATAACTGGGATCCTATTTACTCTGAAGACCCAGAGGATGCTTTCCTGAAAAATTGACATTTAAGCTGAAAGATACAGATTGAGTGTGGAACAATTAAGCAAAAATAAGGAAAGAGTTCTCAGACAGAAGGAGCATCGTTTGCAAAAGTACATAGGGTCAAGGGGGAGCCTGGAAACATTGTGCTTCAGAAACATTGCAAATATTTGCTGATGAGGTTGGAGCATGGAAAGCAATAAGGATTTTTGGAAATGAGGCCTTTAGTTGTAAAACAAGGGAAATACTTCTGATATGGCTTGGCTATATACGCCCAATTCTTATCTTGAATTGCAGCTCCCATAATTCCCACGTGTCATGGAAGGGGCCTTGTGGGAGGTAATTTAATCAAGTGGGTGGGTCTTTCTCATGCTTTTCTTGTGGTAGTGAATAAGTCACATGAGATCTGATAGTTTTACAAAGGGGAGTTCCCGTGCACCTGCTCTCTTGCCTGCCACCATGTAAGATGTGCCTTTGCTCATCCTTAGCCTTCTGCCATGATTAGGAGGCCTCCCTAGCCATGTGGAACTGTGAGTCAATTCAACCTGGGTCCTTTATAAATTACCCAGTCTTGGGTATATCTTTATTAGTGGCATAGAACAGGCTAACAGAGTATCTTTAGAGCAATGGGAAACTACGGTGGCACTTTTAATCTTATTGTTCCTCTCATAGAAGCTCCAGAAAGTTGTGGGGCAGATTACTTGGTCCTGTCTCCAGAACATCGGAGCTAATGAGAAATGAATGCCAGCAGTCCTCCAAAACCACTTCTTTTAGAGGGCTCTTAGTCCCTGGCCTAAAGTCTGTAACACCAAGAAAAAGCTTCAGTAATCCCCCTGCAACATTATCCTGCTTTGTATCTCCACTCAGGAGCTTCAAAATCATCACCCAGAAGTATGGTTTATCTGCTGTCAATTCACTACATTGTTACCTCTAGCCAACATAGAGTAAATTCCAGCATATCCCCAATTAACTCGCTTGAGATTCTGTTTTTGATCTGGCCCAGAGTGGAAATTCAAAAACTGATACTCACAATTAGATAGTATTGCTTATGCCCTCTCTGTTCTGATCACTAATTTTTTACTTGCTATTCTACTTTTTGATGTTTCTTCTCATCTTTTTTTTTTCTTTTTTGCAGAAAAGTTATAGATATGGCACATTGAAAACGTTTTTAAAGGATCAAGAACGCTGGGGGTAAGCAGATTTTATAATTCTTCTTTTCAACAAGGAAACACTTTCAGAAATGTAAAATGCGTTGCCGAAGGACAAACCTGAGAAAACCCTGTCTCTTAACACAAGAGAGTGCTCCTTTCACCACAGCATACCGCTTTTTATTAAGCACAAAGATCCTTTCTCCTACTGCCTAGAGAATACAAGTTACTAGAATACTACGGCTATGTCTGTGTAATGTACTTTGCACAGTAGTTGGCATAGCGTTATGCCCTTTTAGGTGCCGAGGAGATGCTTTTAGATAATTGACAGCCAACCTGTGATTTTTTCTGATAATCCTAGGCCAACCTGACATGAGAAGTCTTGGGAGGAGCTAGTCCCCTGGAGAGGAGGTAGGCTGACACTGAGTGACTTAGAAATGACAGGAAGTCAGTTGAAATTGCTACTCTAGTTAAAATGTCTTTTTAAGTAACTCTATGTATAATAGATTTCTCACCATCAAGAAGTTTCAACTGTGGATGGTGTGGCAATTTTAAGTCACAAAAGTAAGTTTAGGTCTCGTGGGCATAAAATCATTAGGGATATGATACTGTTCACGTATCATCATGCTCTTCATGTGGCAATTTAATGTCAATGGAGTTTTAAAGAAGGAATAATGCCAACGACTAATATATGCCAAGTGCTAGCAAACGGGACCACTAACCATATCCATTCATCATTTCATATCATCTTCACAAGCTTACAGCATCACAAATACATACCAATACTAGTGTTACACAAATGCGAAAACTGAGTCTTAAAGTGGTTTTGAGGTTCACTAAAGGTCTCACAACCAGAAAGTTGCAAAAACCTAGTTTGTCTGATCCAAATTCTTTGCTCTGAACCACCCAGCTCTACTGCTTACAACGTTCTGGCTACTCCAGAATGTTGATTCGGAGTGAAGTTTATTGAGACTCTGCATCTACCACTGTCAGAGAAAAAGAAATCAGAAAAATTACTTGTCAGATTGTGAAAAACTAAGTTTTAGGGGAATGAAAATTATCAGACTTGCAATAGATTAACATACAATGAAATAGAGAAATATGTGCATTCTCCCTCTGTAAGGAAAGGGGAGCAAACAAATATGCAAATGTTTGGTGATCATGAAATCAGAAATGCAAGTGAGTTTCCGAAGTCAAACATTTAATGTTATCTGGCCAAAAACTCTGTGCATCTATGTATAATACAAAGATGGCCTTGACAATAATGACCATATGATAAAAGTGCAATGGATAAGATTCCTATTTTCAAATCAGAAGTTATAAATTTAATAATTTCAGTAAATAAAAAATGCTTTGCTTGAAATACGTATCTTTATCTACAAGAGACCATTTATCATCTAAGCCTGGATGAAGTATATGTCTTGGTCTGGAATGTCACCAAAAGATGCCCCCATTTCTTCAGACCTACTAGAATTTTACCTCCTAGTCATATGTTGGGCAAACTACAAGGCCTATTTCAATAATGTCAAATATTTTATCTGTGAAGCTTGTTTCTCCTTCTCTCCTCAGATCAATAATCTGCAACTAGGGCTCACAGTGATAATCATCTATTTGGCATGGCTTTCTGACATACTGTGTTAAGATGGATTCTGAGGTCTTATCCAGGGTAAATGGAAAAATATATTGATCAGTATATTAGTCTGTTTTTATACTGCTACAAAGAACCCAAGAGGGTAATTCATAAAGGAAAGAGGTTTAATTGACTTACAGTTCAGCATGACTGGGGAAGCCTCAGGAAACTTAAATTCATGGCAGAAGGTGAAGGGAAAGCAGGCACCTTCTTCCCAAGGCAGCAGGAAGGAGAAGTGCCAAGCAAAGTGAGACGAGCCCCTTATAAAACCATTGGATCTCCTGAGAACTCACTATCATGAGAACAGCATGGGCTAAAGTGTCCCCATGATTCAGTTACCTCCACTTGGTTTCTCCCTTGACATAGGGGGATGGTGGGGATTACAATTTAAAATGAGATTTGGGTGGGGACACAAAGCCTAACCATATTAATCAGAAAATTCAACTGGCCAAAGAATCAAGAGAGGGAGATGCAGTGTTTCCAGATACCAAATTACCTAAGTGATTTAAGTTAGGTAAATAAGAAATAAGTTAGGTAAATCATACATTTTCCTGACTTAGAAACATACGAAATACTAGAAGAGCAGCCACTTTTATTTCTTCTTTTACCTTTCTATGGAGCTCAGTGTTTTCTACTTTTGACTATTTAATTAAAAAGCACATCCCCTCTCCCCATTTCCACATACTTGGTTAGTGGGAATAGTATAAATGAGGCAAGATTTAGCATTAATCTCAACTGGTAACCTTTATGAACAAACTTTCCCTTACTATAGTATGCTGTTTAGAGCAAGGTGCTAAGGAAACACATAGTAGATGGCAATTATTGTCTCACGACATGTCACAAAATACAGCTCTTAAAGGAAACATACAAAAGGCCATAAGAAACATACTTCTCTCAGGTTTGAAGATTCCCAGCATCTCTAGGTTCCATCAATATTCAAGTATGACAGTACGGTTGTCGTAATTCAGGCAAACAGGAGGAGCTAATAGGTGAAAGAGCCATGATCATCTTAGGTACTTGAACTTCGAATTTGGTTGGACCTGTCCTAAAGTCAAGTCTTGCCTTGATATCCTTGCAGGATTTGTTCCAGAACCCCTTCGGTTACCAAAATTCACAAATGCACAATTCTCTTATATAAAATGATGTACTATTTGCACATCATCTACACACATTCTCCTGTATACTTTAAATTATCTCTAGATTACTTGTATTACCTAATGCAGTGGAAATGATATGCAAACAGTGGTTAAATGTATTGATGTCATTTTATATTATTATATTGTGTTTTTTTCCAAATATTTTCAAACCTCAGTTGGTTGGATCTGTAGATGGAGAACCTGTAGATATGGGGGGCCAATTGTACACTGTTCTGAAGTTCAGATACCTAGGGGAATGTTTCAGCTAACCTCCATCCAATGTATATAGGGAAACAATGGGGTAGAAACATGCTGGTATCTGTAAATTATTTTGTCATGTTTTCACTTGCTAGGATAAAGAAAAGGATTAGCTATCACACATTGCTTTTGTATTATCAAATCAAACCTAGGTACCATGACTGTAGTTTAGAAAACTAACTCTGAAAATAAAGACCAATTTGTAATAGGTCTGAGTTCAAATCATGGCTCTACCACTGTGACTTTGTGTTTGTTGCTTACTGTCATTGAACCTGAGTTTCTGCTTTAGTAAAATTGACTTATTAATATAGACTTCAATCAGTTGTTATGAAAATAAATGTAAATGGAATCATATCTTTAATGCACATAGTAAAGTGCGTGACATACAATTGGCTACCATAAATAACAACAGTAAACAATAATGACTTCTAAAACTCTTCAAATGGTGCTTGCTCGTGGTAAGTACCATGTAACTGTTTGCTACTGTTATTAATATTCCTGTATTGAAGTTGGGCTTTCTTTCTTTTTTCTGCTTCTCAGTAGCTTAGGATTTCATTCAGAAGTGGTTCTGAGGGCTGGGAGGAAGGGATGAACCCAATATTTCCAATGCTGCCTTGGCCTGGGCTCTGCTTTCTCCACAACAGAAAGACAGAATACACTACTAGAGTTATTGGGTAGACTTTTGGGTTATCCGTGTATCCTTAAATCTTGATTTGATTCTAGGAAAACATAATGTTGATATTTCTCATATTAAAGGTTTAGTCTTTACTTTTAGTCATATTAAAAGTTTAGTCTTTAATCCTGACCAGACCAACTGTCATGATTTCCTGACAGCTTTAGTAAATTAAGCTACAACACCAAGAAGGAAAATGGAGAACGCACATGGTTCTGGCATGAACCCATGAACCCCAGCTGAGTTTAAGAAAACAAAACAAGTGGTCTCCTGTCTTCTTTCCTTTGAGTTCTATCAAGGTACTTTCTTGGTTTCCCAGAATCAAAAGGATCTCCCTGCAGAAATCATGCCAAACACTTAAGATAAATGTGACAAAATAATCTACCTTCTGTCTCCAAAAGCATTAAGAAATTTCTGAAAACACCATTATAGCCGTATTATATTTATAAGCACTTCCCTGTACTTCAGCTGCAGCAGCGGTTATCTGCTGCATCTCATGATGCCATCTATTCCATGCATAATTAAATACTGTGCTTCGTATCTCCCTTGTTGCTTTCTCTTCATGGCAAGTTCCTTGGTTTATACCCACATTTTCCACCATGTGTTCTCTATGTTTCAGATACCATTTTCTGCATATTTTGGGCCAATCTTGCCACACTTAACCCTAACATTTTACAAATGCAGATAAATATAATCATGTCATTCTCTTTTTTTTTATAAGCAAGAATACCGTCTCTGTAGCTGACATAAATAACATCAATTAAACTTTATAAAATGACCCTACTTCCATATTTTTGTTTACCTCTCCATTAGGGAAAAGTTGCTACACCAAAACATGGAGACTTTTTCAAGACTTCCTTGGGTGATATGGAATTATTTTTAAAGTAGGGAAGGGCTGGCTAAGCTAATTTTCACATGTAAGTGTTTGGGTTCAGGGTTGGGGTGAAATCTGAGACTGGGAAAGGATGTCTTTCTTAAGATCATGGTATTTAGACCTCACGCCTCTTAAATTTTGTCCCCCAGAAGTCTTTGGTTGTATGTGACAGAAAGCAAACTTGAACTAGCCTAGGTAGAAAATAATTTTTATTAGAAAAATACTTGAGTAGCCTACAGAATGAAAATAGTGAGAAGCCGTAAAGCCTCAGGATGCCATAAACTCTTGTTTCTGTCCATTGACATCATTCGTGTGTGTGTGTGTGTGTGTGTGTGTGTGTGTGTGTGTGTGTGACAGAGAGAGAGAGAGAGAGAGTGTGTCTCATTCTGTCATGCAGGCTGGAGTGCAGTAACATGATCATTGCTCATCTGCAGCCTCGACTTTCTGAGCTCAAGTGATCCTCCCAAGTAGATGGAACCACAAGTGTATGCCACCATGTCCAGCAAATTTTTTAATTCTTTGTAGAGACGAGATCTTCCTGTGTTGCTCAGGCTGGTCATAAGCTCCTGGGATCAAGCAATTTTCCTGCCTCAGTCTTCCAAAGTGCTGAGATGACAGGCATGAGCCACTGTGCCCAGCCTGACATGATTCTTTAATAAATAGTTTTTGCAGGCTGATCCTTGGCTCACACCCTTACTATCTTTATCTGAGAGAGAAAAGACCCAGGAGAGACCCTAACTCTCCTGACTTAGGTCATATTTCTATCTCTCTAGGAGATGGCAGAGGGTAGAAAAATCAGTTACCAGGCTGAAAATTGGAACAAAATTGTTGTAGGCATCACACCACCTGATTTCAAACCATACTACAAGGCTATAGTAACCAGAACAGCGTGGTACTGATACCAAAACAGATATATAGACTAATGGAACAGAACAGAGGCCTCAGAAATAACGCCAAACATCTACAACCATCTGATCGTTGACAAACCTGACAAAAATAAGCAATGGGGAAAGGATTCCCTACTTAATAGATGGTGTTGGGAAAACTGGCTAACCATATGCAGAAAACTGAAACTAGACCCCTTCCTTACACCTTATACAAAAATCAACTGAAGATGGATTAAAGACTTAAGCATAAGATGTAAAACCATAAAAACTCTAGAAGAAAAACCTGGAAAATACCATTCAGGACATAGGCATGGGCAAAGATTTCATGACTAAAACACCAAAAGCTATGGCAACAAAAGCCAAAATAGATGAATGGGATCACTAAAGAGCTTTTGCACAACAAAAGAAACTGTCATCAGAGTGAACAGACAACCTACAGGAAGGGAGAAAATTTTTGCAATCTATCCATCAGACAAAGGGCTAATATCCAGAATCTACAAAGAACTTAAAACAAATTTACAAGAAAAAAACAAACAACCCTATTCAAAAAGTGGGCAAAGAATATGAACAGATGCTTCTCAAAAGAAGACATTTATGCAGCCAACAAATATATGAAAAAAAAAAGCTCATCACCACTAGTTATTAGAGAAATGCAAATCAAAATCACAATAAGATACCATCTCATGTTAGTTAGAACGGCAGTCATTAAAAAGTCAGGAAACAACAGATGCTGGAGAGGATGTGGAGAAATAGGAATGCTTTTACACTGTTGGTGAGAGTGTAAATTTGTTCAACCATTGTGGAAGACAGTGTGGTGATTCCTTAGGGATCTAGAACCAGAAATACTATTTGACCCAGAAATCCCATTACTGGGCATATACCCAAAGGAGTATAAATCATTCTACTATAAAGACACATGCACATGTATGTTTATTGCAGCACTGTTCACAATAGCGAAGACTTGGAATCAACCCAAATGCCTATCAATGATAGACTGGATAAAGAAAATGTGGCATATATACACCATGGAATACTATGTAGCCATAAAAAAGGATGAGTTCATGTGCTTTCCAGGCACATGGATGAAGCTGGAAACCATCATTCTCAGCAAACTAACACAGGAACAGAAAACCAAACACTGCATGTTCTCACTCATAAGTGGGAGTTGAACAATGAGAGCACATGGACACAGGGAGGGCAACATCACACACTGGGGCCTGTTGGGGAATGGAGGGCTAGGGGAGGGATAGCATTAGGAGAAATACCTAATGTAGATGATGGGTTGATGGGTGCAGCAAACCACCATGGCATGTGTATACCTATGTAACAAACCTTCATGTCCTGCATGTATTCCAAAAGTTAAAGTGTATGT